GCAAAAAGGTCCCTAAGGTGATGGGGTAAGGTGGGCGTGGTGGGGTATGTAGGTGTGAAAAGCGGCTGCTGTAAAATAAAATAAAATGTAACCCTATCAAATATCACCCATTACTGACCGTCGTAACATACTCCAGTGCTTCTTCCCATTGCTTCAACAGCTGTTCGTTTTGCAGCTCGAGTTTTTCTCGCTCGACAAGTGCCTGAATGACGACAGTCGAAAAATCGTCTAAAAACAAACCAAAGGAACGAAGAACGCACTTGCTCAAGACGCTCTCGTAATCGATCGCATTGATCGCTGTAGTTGGAAGTTGATTGAGAAGGGGAACTTGACGTGACGAATCGCTCGATTACCGTAATCTCACTGTCACTCGTAATGGAGTCCTGCATAGGAAACTTATGAAGATGCCACTATGGTTACAAATGTATTTAAAAAATTTATGGTGCTAACATAGTTGGAGGGGCCAAGCGGCAGCACGCTGCTTTGTTCGTCTGCGCCTCGGAGGCTTAGGCCGATGTCAGACTTTGCGAATCGCGCGATTCGCTAGCGTCTGCGGTCGCGTCGCGGCCAGTGAATCACTCAATTGGCTGGTACCGCAACGCGACGCGCAACGCGGACCGCGCGACGCTAGCGAATCGCTAGTAGCGAATCGCGCGATTCGCAAAGTCTGACATCGGCCTATAGTCTGGCGTTGGCAGACTGTTTCGAATGCCACAATGGTGGCGAAACCGCAACGGCCCTCGACTAAAGATCCTAGAGGCACAGACGAATCATGGACGCGTAGCCATGACGGCCATCTCGTACACGCTAGCATAGATTTTTTGGATTTTATAAAAGATCAAGACATGGGAAGCATCTCCGATTCGTGAGCATTGGTCCGGCTCTGATTTTAGGACACTAGCGTAAGGCGCCCACCCATGACGGAAATAAAACCTGAGCTTTAATTCCGAGTTTGAGATAGTCTTCGTGACTTTCGACAAAAATCTGTGGAAAGGACAAATATCTTTATAGAATTACTGGCGATAGGGAGCCTCGGTGATCTCGAAGGCACGTTTAGGATCACAGCTGTGTAACGTTCTTGCCACGATAATTAAGCGATTTGTGGCAGCAGAAAAGAAAAAAGGAAACGACTTCATCGAAACGCGAACGTTAAGGACTTGTTTGCGTGGACGGTTTATACTAAGAGACTGATAGGCCGCGCACTAGAGGGAGGATAGAAAGCAGAACGGATAAGAGACGCAAACACCGCCGTGCCGCGGACGAGAAAAAATGGAAACGGTCGAAGCGGTTTTGCAAGGCTCTAGCACAGTTGTTGCTCACTTCAGAGCAAGGAAAACGGGATATCTGCGTTTTTCATGAGCCCGCCCAAAAATACCTCTCCCAACCAACATGATTTCACCAATGGTTATGGTCCAGCGGTCAACCCTGCGTTGCGCAGTTCGCAACGGCACGTTGAGAGATCCTCAACGCACGCTGTATGGGCGGAGACACAGACGGCTCGAGCATGCGAGTGTGAATGTTCGCGCGAGAGAACGTGTCTAATCGGGCGAAACTGCGCAACGTGGCCGTTGAAACTGCGCAACGCAGGGTTGACTCTGCTTATCGCGTACTCTCGCACCTACCCGACTCTGACTGGTTGGGATATTGACCACAGAAAGCCACAGCTACCAATTCTCCCCCTTCCATTGGTAAGATTTCGCCTTCCAATCAAATCACGCCAAAAATCATAAAAAATTAAGGAGATGTCCAATGCCGAGCCAAAATAACCGAGTCCCTTTTCACCATCAGTAGTTCCAGTTTTAACCTTTTCAGATTAGTTTAGAAAATGGTATTAATTGTTAAGCTTGTCGGTGATGCTACCCTTTTAGGCATTTTTCGACACATCGGAATTTGTAAAGCTTTTTCAATGCGAAAAACTCCTACCACATCACTTGAGACACGTTTTCGATGTCCACCGTTGATATGCATGGCTTGCTGAAATGTCGATCGTTAGATCGATAAAGCATTTTATCAGAAAGAAAGGATCTCATCCAGCAACAAGGGGGATGGGGCGGCAATTGCTGCGGTCTACAGAAATTCCAATTTGCTGTAGGGGAGGAATCCCGTGGTGCGTGAACCATTTCGCTTCCGCTTTAACACCCACCCGAAGCTTCCTTCTGCTGCGAAAAATGGATTACTTCAAGCGATATGAACTGTTGCAGCACATGCCCCCCCCCTCTTCGCCCTGCTGGAATCAGACTTGGAAGCAATATCGAATTTATTTGGAAAAATCCATTCAACCAATAGAAATTCCATTTAAAGTGAAGCTAAGGGCAACTAAACTCAATCGATTTCCCACATCGCCTTCTGGTTATAATTGGCATGTCATTGGACACATAAATAAAATAAAACCAATGAATAAACAACGAACAACTTCTCTCTAACTTAGGCACTGGTGTTAATTTTCGTTTGCGCCAACGAGGTCTTTTGAAAGAATAGTTATTGATGCTGATCCTCTCTGACCACTTTATTTTCTTGGTGCGTTTACCCTTTGTTGTCCGGCGACAATGTGCGTTTGCAGCGCAGACTTCACAGCAAAGTGACGACGGCCTTAAAGGCAGCGATTACGATAGGTTCAAGAAGGGTTTAGAGGAGACGTGGTGGTGCTCAATGGTACGCCAGTGGCGAAAAAAGCGGAGAAATCCGTCAAGAAAACGCAAACGGGACCCCCTTTTTTGGCCGTTGGTTTTCACTCATGAACAGGTAACAGCTCAGAAAGCGGACGTATGAACGAGTTCACCGCAACGCGTTTGGTGGCACCATGCCAAACCACGCTTTAATCGAGATGCTCCATTTGTGCCGCTGCTGGCAACGCAGCTCGTCCAAATCACCAAGTAAACTAGTGGGCGGATCGCTTTTGGGGGCGGAGTGCTTTCGAAGTCCTGCTCAGCAACCAGCGCACCTTTCGTCGTGAAAGCGCCACACCTCGCTTCCCTGGCAGCCAAGTAACTTTCGTGTGGTGCATATGCTTCCCCGATGCGCTCCCTCTTTATCGTAATCGCTGCCTTTAAGGAATGCAACACCATTCTGCCTATAGGAAATGATTAGCCAATGTAGCAGTTGTATTCCACTGATTGTCACAAATTACAACTATCATTTATCACTACCAGCTGTCACTATAGACCGTTCATTATCAGGTTTTTTTTGAATGCCTTCGTCACTTATGTTGTGAAGTGTGCGGTGCAGACGCATCGGCTGTCGGATACACGGGCCACTAGGTGCATGAAAAATAAATAAGTAATGATTCTTCTTACTATTTCTTATTTTTATGCAATAAATGGCTCAAAATTTAAGAATAAGATGGTCTTCCTCAAAGCCTCGGCCCGCCATGGCAGGAGGAAAGGACGCAATATTAGTTTAGAAGGTAATGCTGTATCTCTTAGGCCGATGTCAGACTTTGCGAATCGCGCGATTCGCTAGCGTCCGCGGTCGCGTTGCGGTACCAGCCAATTGAGTGATTC